CGGCTTTACGGATCTCACTAGAAGAATGTAGAACATAGTCTGGAAGAACACATAGGCTACTTATTAAGTTTTATTTTAACTCTGCGCGGATAGAGTCGAGAGCAACAGCTAGTTAAGCAATATCACGATGGTTTTAGCCCCTTTTCTTTTTTACCATACCTTTCTTGCTACAACTACGGCATCCCTTTCTGTCTAGCGCCCTGGGCGGTCGCCCTACACTTGTACTGATTGTACTAAATCTTAGTCTTAATAAAAGTGTACAATGTTCACAAGTGACATAAATTAAACAATTCACGTCATAGTTTTAATTCTGTTGAATGTTTCTTAAGAACTTTGAGCTGACAGCAAGATGTACTCTTACTGCAAACTAAGACAATAGGCTACTACGTTACTTTGCAACGAACAAGGCATAAGCGATGAGCGGTTTATCACAGAATACATTTACTTACAAAACAAGCCTGTAACCCAATAGAGGTACGCAGAGACCACGGACATCCATTTGGCGTGACCAAACTAACCTCTGCAATCCACTTTTCTCCCTTTTTTAAATCCGCGCGAACGGAGCCGTGTGCGACAGTTAGTATTTAACATATTATAATGTGCTTAAGCCACTTAGCTCAAAAACCTAGTAATGTCATTTAGGCAAAAAAAATAATCTGTCTTATAAAATAACTAGCTGTCACCCGCGACTCCGTGCGTGTGTTTGTCTAAAAAATAAAAATTTAGGGGTGGACTACCCTTAACATTTAGGGGGATGAAAAATATATGTTGGCCGATTCTTAGACCTACTCAATATGCTAACAAAATTTCATGAGAATCGGTCAATTCGTTTCGGAGGATTATGGGAACGAAAATTGTGACACGAGACTTATATATATGATTTTGTCTTCCATAATCTTGTGACTTGGACCATGCGATTCTAGGTCCCGCGCTCTCTGGCGTCTCGTCGCGACTTCGTTAACGAGCCCCCGCTAACAAACTACCCCGGACACGTACATTTGTTTTACACTACGTTTACATTGCACCATACTGACTACAAATATCCACTAATCTATCTTTATATAACTTTTATACTTAGGGTAAAAGTCGATTATAATTTCTCTATTTTAGAGCTTCGACAGCAAGAAATGTCTACTGTTAACTGCCAACTTTTAATAGACGAAAAAAGTGATTAAAAAAAATGACGATCGGTCACTTCTTGTTCATCCAAACTGACATCTAGTGACTTGTTTTTAAGTGGAAATGTGGTAAAGGTACGGGCTCAGTTGACTATTCCCTCTGCTCTTAAAGCCCGACACGTCATATTTAGAGAACGCCCTTATATTCTAATGTGTCATCTCTTCCCTGTCATGTAATTTCAAATCGATATATCCACAATTGTATATTTCACGACAAACTGAACAGCGTATTCGTACACCTGACAAAATATTATTTTTTCCGCCATTTTGCACATGTCTTGTCAACGGAATTCGAAGATTCGACAGTTCGCAAATAACCGCGGGTTGCCAGATTCGGAAACATATTTACATAAAAATATAGCTGTCTCTTTTTTTTAACACAATGAAAAGGATGACTATTTTTCACGTGTTTCAGCAGTGTTTATAAGAGATTGTAACGAAAATTATATCCTATTTTACTTTTACAGTTTTTATGAACCAAAATACGAATAAAAAATCATAAATACATTATTTAAAAAATCTATTTCATGCACGAACTGTTTCAATTCCATAAACTTTACGATTTTAAAGCTTAGTTTAAATCAAAAAATCAACTGTAACGCTGATTTCATTTCTGTGAAATCGAGATAAGAAATTACTCGACTTTGTTATTGCGTTTTCCAATTAATCCGTAGATATTAAAAATGGTATGAATTTATTATTAAGGATCTTTTAATTATTTATAAATTTCGACGATCACCTGTTGCTTTTTAAAACAACTTTAAAAAAAAATATTTTTCAGATGTTTTTCCCCATTTGTGCAACGATATTTATATTTTTAATAATAGCAACACCAACATCGTCAAATGACACAAAAACCAAGATGGCGGTCGCGCGTAAATATTTAAAGATAAATCCCGATACTTGCAAATGGTGCAACATGAAAGAATACGTAGAGAAATTAAAGAAACAAAATCAAAAACCTGGAAACAAGAAAATAACGAAACGACCACAAACACATTTTGATTATGATAATCCATACCACGGTTCTGCACACGTCGATAACATAGAAATGAATTTAGGAAGGGAATTCTTATCTGAAATATTAAACAAATTGCCGAAGAATAAATATTCTTTAAAATATTATTTTGCTTTTTATTTCTATTCATTTCTTATTTACAATACAAGGAAAAATATCATCAGCTCACTATACGTCCCCACTGAGGGGCTCGGAGCCTACCCTAAATTGCGAGAGACTAGGGTATAGTCAATGCAGACCTAGAGCGGGTTGACTTCACACATATCTTTGAATTTCTTCGCAGATATGTACAGACGATGTTTTCTTTAATCGTAAGAACGTCGGGTAAACGTACATATATAAATCGGAAGTTGAAAAACACATTGGTACATTGGATTCGAAGCCAGGACTTGCAGGTTACAAGGCAAGTGCTAAATGTCTAAGCCACTGATGCTCGTAAAAATAACAAAGACATTTAATTTATCGTAAGATTTCAACCATGCAGCAATTCAATTTGCAGAATAATACAATATATTCTAAGATAGAAGACAGATTCAAAGGACTTAATAAACTTATAATTTTTACATAACTTTTCTATTATTTTCCAAGTCAATAAAATTACACGCTTAATTTGTTTTGAAAATTAAAAATATACTTATTTAAAAATATACGTTCTTCAAACATTAGTTAGTAGAAATGTTCAAACAAAAAGATGTTCATACAATAATATGTTTTATTATTATATTATGTATTGCACGTTTAATTTCAAATTTAGAAATAGAAAGAATAAACGATCCGTTTCAGACGAAAATTGCGAAGAAATTAATAAAATATCTCGATGAGAAAATAAATGAATTACCAAATGAATATGTACAAAGTGATGAGAAAGAGAAGAAATTAATCCAAGATGAGAATAGTAATGACATTAGAGCAATTGATGGATTGACGTTTAATAAAATATTAGTGAAAAGAATCATACCTCACGGCATGAAAACTAATTTCGGACGCCATTTTGGTAAAACATTTTACAAGCCATTAATAAGATTCCATAAAAATGCAGATAAAAAATATACTATCCATAGAAGTGATAATTCAAATTATTTTATCACGACAAAAAATCAAACAAACAATCCGTACGTATTAAAATTAATAAATTGGATGAACACGAAATACAAAACTTTAAATTCATATAAACAAAAATATAAAAACATGGCGACTTACATAAAAAATCTCTACGACACATTGGGATTGAATAAAACAAAAAAAAATCCAAAAGAAAATAAAAATAAGAAAATATTACGCTACGATTTGTCAGATGAAACTAGTTTCGGTCAAAAGGGATATTATCTTAATGCAAATCGTAAAACGACTACGCCGAAAAGAAAATGGCTGCCAGATTATCCATTCTGGAGTTTTTGGACGGTAAGAGATTTAAACAAATGCCTTTTTTATATGCCAGTAGCACTCAAAATCAGCACTGGCATCAAATTGACGTATCATACACACTACCTGGTGCCAGTGAATCATAAAAGTTCATGCCAGCAAAGCTCTACTGTACTGGCATCATCCTTAGAACTCGCAAAGTTATTTCTTTCTATTCGCTATTGTAAAGTTCTCAACAAGATTAGTATATGTTTTTTACCAAATCTATTGTTCGATCTTTAAGACTTTTGTTCTTTTTAAACAATTATTTTACGTTTTTTTAATTTTAAATTTTAAAATCTTTTATGTATCACAGGAATCTTATATAAAATTCTCGTGTCACATTTTCGTTCCCGAAACGGCTTGACCGATTCTCATGAAATTTTGTGAACATATTGAGTAGGTCTGAGAATCGGCCAACATCTATTTTCAATCCCGCGCGGACGGAGTCGCAGGCGACAGCTAGTTTTAATATAATTATTTTTATTCAGTACAAAAAAGGTATATACCAAGACGAGTGCCCCGGAGAGACGATAGCCAGCGGCAGAATGTGTATATGGGTTCCTCCTCACTAGACTCATACATAAGCTCCATTGAACCAATAAACCATTATAACATGACCTCTCATTATTTTACCCTCGAACTCCAATGTTGTAGTCAAAATATCTCTCAGTTTTTACTTAAATACAACTCTATCGCAGAGTTCTAATAAAGGTCGCTTAACGCACGCCTAACCATGGGTTTTGGAGCCCAAAAATCACTAAATATATCGCCATCCCTGTCATTATCTTTGACAAAGAAGAGATAAGAATATGTTTTATACATTTTGGTCTCGGAAACAAACGAGAAACGCGGATATTAAAGTATTAATGTCCAAATCAAATTATTGATTGTTTTTTTTTTGTTGATATTGTCTAAAGCCAAATAACCTTTTCAAATCAAAATTAAAAAAACTTAATACTACAAATAAAACACAAATTCCGTTATTAATTTTATTTAACTACACAGCCAGTGTTTATCAAAGAGGAGTATAAAAACACATTTAATTCCTAAAAACTAATAATTGCTGACAGATATTTTATTATTTTTATTTCGTTGAAATTCTTGTCATGGATAAAAAAAATCTTCAATAACTCATAATGATAAAAACTTGAAACCTAAGTTATTCCAAGAGATATTTTACTTTTTAAACTAATGCTTCTATTCTTCAGATATTTGGCAATTTCACAAACTTCACAAAAAAAACTTAAAATTTCTGCGTTAGTTACAGCGCCATCTATTTGAGCATTTGCAAAAGTTTTTCTAATTCCAAATTATTACAATAGATGGCACTATCACTATTTCAAAATTCTATGGTGTATTTTGAATTAAAAAAAAATTCAAACTTGATTAAATTCAATCCGTTCAAGAATATGAGATTCATTTAACATCTAATAATATAATTGCAATCTAAGTCTTATTACAATAAAATAGAGGTGATTTAATGTTAAATGAGTACATAAGTTGGTGCGCTTTCCACACCACAGTTATTATCTCTCGACGACATCAACACGTAGCCATCGTTGCCCCACAAATTGGACCAGGAATTCTTGACCAGCCAGTACTTCTGACCATTCAACACGCCGTAACCCACCGCCAGGACCGCGTGGTCTAATTCGTCAATTTTATTTTTACTGCAAAAAAAATAGAAAATATAAATCAATCTGTAACAACAAGTATTAAGAGTAGGTTTAAGACAAAATGGTTGCTTTAATTTGATTCACTATAAATTGAAAATTTGTAAAATAATAAGTAGTCAAATTGATTTAAGATTATAGGTAATCTAAACATATTAATTAAATTAGTGTCTGTATGTAATATAATAAAAAAAATGTCTTTCTGTGTGTCTGCCCAAAGGCAGCATTTGTCCCGTGTAATATCAAACAGATTTTGATAGGATTTGGCTATGTTTCTTTTAACTGTTCTCGGACAGAACCGCGGACAACAGCTAGCAGTAAATATAAAATTACCATTTAGGTTCATAATAGACACCGTGAGAGTAGAATGAGAAACTCTTGTGGGACGCGTCGATTGCCACCGATATTGGGCCGTGCTTGAATATCGCCAACTAGAAAAAAAAAACAAATGTACATCTCACTTCTTACTAATATTATAAATGCGATTGTTTAGATGTAAGGATGGATGGATGGATGAATGGATGAATGTTTGTTAGAAGGTATCACCGAAAAGGCTCAACGGATGTTGCTAAAATTTGACATACATGTAGAACATAGTCTGGAAGAACACATAGGTTACTAAGTTAACTTTTAATTCCGCGCGGACAGCGACGGGCGACAGCTAGTTTAGTTTATTTGTAGAAAAGAGTCTGGAAGGAGACATAGGCTACCAATTTAGTTTTTTTTTTTTAATTTCGCGTTGACATAGTCACGGGCGACATCTAGTTACAAATATGTTGTTTTACTTACACGTAATGCGTTTTCATTGTTTGTTGTTACATTGACCCAGCCTTTAATTGATGTCACTAAGGTTACATTATCCACGTGACAGTAACCATCCTGGAAAAAAATAACGGTTTTTCCTTATATAGCACTATTATATTTAATTTACAATAATAATATGATAGTTATGAAAACTAAAAGAGTCTTGTTGTCAAGAAATTAACTAAAAATAAACTAAACGATTATTCTAAAATTAGTAATTGATTTTCAATACAATATCTAAGCTAAGAAACTCGCGAGTAACCTCTATAAATGAGAATGATATCACGGCTCTAAGACCTATCCTAATAAGATTTTTCATTACAACTCTGAGTACTGCTGTACCTGTCCTAAGTAATCTCCGTAGTCCTCCTCAGTGGGCAGACCGTGTTTCATGATCCACTGGTAGGCGCGGAAGTCTTCACCTCCATCACAGCCGTTGTTGCCGAAACTATAACAAAAACAATTTTAAAAGGTTAGAATTTTGAAAACATATTGTTTTTGTAACTTATTCGATAGATGGCGCAGTACTCAACAAGAAATATCCATTGAATTATAGTCAGTTCGCTAGATGGCGCGGTACTCAAATAAGATGTAATCGCTAAGTTAGTTAGCTAGATGGCGCGGTACTCAAATAAGATGTAATCGCTAAGTTAGTTAGCTAGATGGCGCGGTACTCAAATAAGATGTAATCGCTAAGTTAGTTAGCTAGATGGCGCTGTACTCAAATAAGATGTAATCGCTAAGTTAGTTAGCTAGATGGCGCTGTACTCAATCCATCATTTAACTTGTATTTTCTCTCATCTACGAAATTTTTAATCCATTTCATTTTAATTTACCTGATCGTAGTAACAATCTGAAAACATACAATACAAAATATTTATGACGATTGTAAGTTAGATAATAAGTTCATACCCCCACGAGCAGTCGATGAGAGTCTGCTGCGAGAGTCGCACGAGATGTCCACCATTGTGCAGGAACAGAGCTCCCTCCACCGCGCCCACAGTACCGAACGACCAACAAGACCCGCACACGGACTGATCTATACACAAAATAATAATCTTATAAATGCGAATGTTTAGATGGATGGATGTTTGTTTAAAGGTATCTCCATAATGACTGCATGGATGTCGCTGAAATTTGACATAGATGTAGAACATAGTGTGGAAGAACGCATAAGCTACTTATGAAGCTTTTTTATCAAATCCGCGCGTTATCCTTCGTTGATACTATGATAAATGGGGATGTTTTAATTGAATGTTTGTCAAAGGTATCTCCAGAACGGCTCAGTTTGTCAACATGAAATTTGGCATAGATGTAGAACATAGTCCTAGTTCCATTAAAAATATTAGAGAAACTATAAGGAGAACTGATTATAAAATTATACCTTTAACCGGGGTAACAGCTCCGAACAACCTCCAATCGAACTCTGGAGGTAACTTCACACTCATCTCCTCCAGTTCAGCTTCGCCGTATGGAAACTGAAGACCTGCAAACATCGGATACAACGATATATATGACGAACATCATATCTATATCGGTTAGAACGACTGAACGCTGTTAAGGGATACAAAGTCGTTGTAACCGGTATATGTAATATTACTATTAGAAATACAAAAGTTTGGATGGATGGATGTTTGTTAGAAGGTATCTGCAGTAATAACTACTGAATGTTGTTAAGTGGTTAAAAATCTTTGGGGTTTAGGAATGGATGAGAAAGGAAAGTGAATTTGACGGAGAAAACACATAGTAAACGGAAATATTCTCTTCCTGTGAATCTCTTACTCTGGCGATTAATTCAATGCAGCGGTTACTTCGCTATTTAGTCGAATTCAGATGACTGCTTGCTTGTTTGCCACACTTATAGTAATATTTTAAATGCGAATCTTTAGATGTTTGGATGTTAGAAGGTATCCCCAGAACGGCTGTATGGATCTTGGTGAAATTTGGCATAGATGTAAAGCATTGTATGGAAGGATACATAGGCTACTTATTATTTTTTTAATTGTGCGCGGACAAAGTCGTGTGCGACAGCTAGTTTGATGTTATAACCGGAGTAGACTTACCCAGTGGGCTAGGTCCACTGTATCTCCTGCCTCTTAATGCAGCCAGCTCATCCTCCGCCCAGTCAGCGAGGTGGTTCACAGCTAATGTAAAACCACGACGTGCGCGATTGTTTGAATGTATATATCTGAAAATACCAAAAAAAGGTCAAAATAATAAGATTTTTTAATTAAAAAAAACTCGAGTTAAGGATTTCTTTAAAGTCTATGATGGTGGAAAAAAAATTAACCGTTCATGTTTCTGACGGTTGATTTGTGAAACTGAAAAATAAATTCCTTCCAATTTTTTTTTCCAAGGACCTAAAAAACCTTATAAAATCAAGGGAGCTCCTTAGCTTTCCCGACAGTATTTACTAGAATATTTTTAGGAATCTATAATATAAATAAAAGCAAATATTACCTGAGATTTTGTCTGAATATATTAAGTCGTTTCGCGTGCTCTATCTCACTGGCGTACTTCTTGTTGTGTTTCGCTTTGAACCTGTATAAAACAACGAGTAAAATTAATTTACCAAATTAATTATAATATAATATTTTTTATCATCAATATATTAAAAATTAAAACAATTCACTAATCAGCAAAATATTTAAAAAAAAACTAACAATAGTGTTTTTGCTCTATGACTAAATGTCAAAGATTAACAACACAGAAGCGTCAGTGTCAATGTCAAAGTCTGTCACCTGTCAAACTCGTTGTCAACGTGTGCGTCATGCACGGGATGTACAAACTCCTTCATCGGGTTGAATGTAGCGAAGTGACGCGACCCGGGACCAGGGAACGAAGTACATTGCATATCTAATAACAAAACAAATAAAGTTTGAGAATGAAAAGGTATAGAAAATTACTAAAACATGCAATCACAGCTACAGAATGAAAATTAGCTTGTTTAAAGTTGATTGGGGGGCGTTAGTGGCTAGAGCGTCGGTGGCTCAGTGGTCAAACACTTGACTTGCAATCTGCAGGTCCTGGGTTCGAATCCCGCCCTGTACCAATGTGATTTTCGATTTCCGATTTACATATGTACATTTATTCGACGTTCTTACGGTGAAGGAAAACATCATGATGCAACCTGCACATATCTGAGAAGAAATTCAAAGACATGTGTGAAGTCAACCAACCCGCAGTTGGCCAGCGTGGTTGACTACGGCCTAATCACCCTTAACTTAGGGTAGGCTCTGAGCCCCTCAGTGGGGACGTATAGTGAGCTGATGATGATGAAATGGGGGGCGTTAGTGAGCTGATATAAATTGACTTATAACCACCGGGTCAGATAGCCTAGTCGGTCTATATTTCGAACACCAAGACACTTGTATTGAAACATTATCATTGCTTATTCAAAGAGTTTCGAATAACAAAGTAAAGTGATATCGCCATCTCTTTTATTCTCTATATAAATGACAGAGATAAAAACTACTACTACTGAAGTCAACCAACCGACACTTGGCCATCGTGGTTGACTATGGCCTAATCACCCTTAACTTAGGATAGGCTCTGAGTCCCTCGGTGGGGACGTATACTGAGCTGATTATGATGGTGATGATGATGAAAAACTGCATCATTTTATACTTACTATGATCAACATCAAAGACGGAGGGGTCAATATCCTCAACATTATAGTCTTTATAATCTAAATAATAATGGTCGTAGTGGGACCCTAACAGAGAGTTGAAGCCTTTCATTTCGTACCTGTAAATAAAATCTTACTTAATATCATAAATGCAAATGTTTAGATGGATGGATGTTTATTTGAAGGTATCTCCGGAACAGCTCAAAGGATTTTTATGAAATTTGACACACATGAAGATCAGTCTGGCAAAGCCTATAGACTATTAAATAAGCTTCTTTATTAATGACGACGACGGAGTCTAGCTAGTTAAAAGTCAATATAAAATTTTAGATAAATGGATGTTTGTTAGAAGGCACACAAAGAGAATATTCGCCTCCTCCGTCAAAACTACTTTCCTTCCCATTATTTGTTTTAAGAAAAGGATGGAAAGGAAAAGAAAAGTAAAATTAGCCCTCCAGTACGCCCACTGATCAGATTTAGTCAGGGAAAATCTTCTAAAAATAGTGTATAATAAGGGGCGCCACAGTCGCCCTTTTGCAACCAATTCTGGCGCCGGAGGCGCCCCTTTATATCCGACTATGGCGTCTGAGGCGCCTCCTTATGCCCATCGCCCTGGGCGATCGCCCCACCTCGCCCTAAATTAACGCCCCTACTGGCGGGTTATAGTAGCCTCTACCCTTGTTGAATAGAAAATATATATAATATGTAGATGTGAAATGTGTGAAATGTTTTCTTTCTGTGCATCCTCTCCTCCGTCGATTAAAGGTAGGCAACGCATATGCAATTGCGTATGTCTATGGGCAACGGTCACTTCGCTATTTCAGCGATATCAGGTGGCCGCGCGCTCGTTTGCCACCTTATGATATAAAAAAAAAGATATATTACCTAACTGGAATGGGGACTGGATCACCTCGTAGACTCTTCTTGTATTTAACCCACATCGTATATTTGTTCACTTTATCACCTATAGTTTGTACCATACGCCATTTTGATGTATCCGCGTCTTGCATTGTTTCTGTACCTGAATATTTTACATATAAATAAAACTGGAGTATCTGTCTGTCTACAAGACTGTTTATTCTCCTGAACGGGTGGACCGATTTTGGCGGGACTTTCACTGGAAGGTAGCTGATGAACGCGGGCATGTTATAGACTCCTTTTTTTTCTGCGTTGACAGTCGCGGTCGATCGCTAGTTTTTCATACTCTATGTATGAAACTGATCTATATTTAAAATCAATTAAGCCCGCACATAAATAATAACTAAAGTCTACTTCTTAGTGTAAATTCAATTCGCCAAATCACTAAGGCAAAGCTTAAATGATAATTAATCTCTGGAAACTGTAAAGAAACGTATGATCTTAGTTACTTACCAACAAACTTAAAATCAGTCATATCAGGCAATACTGACTGGATGCTGATATTCTGGTCTTCTGTACCATTTACCTGAAGACACGTGTCTTTGTTCAACTCTTTCTCTGTTGTTACAGGAGCCACCTGCAAGAGGACAACATAGTCTAAGACTTAAGAGCTAAAAGTGGCACAATTATGCATTGGATTTTAATTCTAAGAGTCTATATTTGTTCCCCGTCCCGAATTGATTGAGGAGGGGAAGCATAGGAAGGAGAAATATCTTTCTGTGAATCTCCTCCGTCGATTTAATTTAGGCAACGCAATAACTGTCGGTGGGGCAGTGGAATGGATTTGTTATCTACAGATCCAGATTTGTTCCCCTCTCCGCATTGACGAAAGAAAGGGGTTGCAGAAAGTAAATAAATAAAACATCCCTATCAATCTATCCTTACCTTTATCGATGTACCATATTTGGGGTAGACTGAGGACGACAATTGATACGTCTTAACCATAGCGCCGTAGTAGTCGATTCGTGATTTGCCATTTTTACCATCGTACCTGCAACAAAGAAAGTCTTGTTGCTGTATATCGATTTTTGTACAAACCAAACTTATATCATTAAAAATAGAATCCAAAACATATTTTCAAATAATTTTTTCAATTCTATAGTTAGAGGTGAATAGTTTATTTGCGATGTTTTATATAGTTAACAAACATACGCGCGCGACTGCGTCCGCGCAGAATAAAAAAAAACTTAATTTGTAGTCTATGTGTTCTTTCAGACTATGTTCTACGTCTATTCCAAATTTCAGCGAGATCCATAAAGTCGTTCTAAAGAAACCTTTCTAATAAACATCCATCCAAACATTCGCATTTATAATATTAGTAAGATTTCTAAATTGTTGTTTTTACGATGCGTTTTTGTTTTTATTCACAGTTAACAGCATTTCAATACCAGGAATAAAGGAAATTTAGTATTGTCAGTCAACAATATAAAATACTGAGAATCCTTTGATATTGTTTAACAAAACAGTCCGTTAACATTGTATTGTCGATCATAGCAAGGCAATTTTTATCCAATATTTATACCAATCGTTACTAAACCATGTTCTAACTAGCTGTCGCCCGCGACTCTGTCCGCGCGGAATTAAAAAAAAAGCATAATAAGTAGCCCATGTGTTCTTTCAGACTGTGTTCTAAATCTATGCCAAATTAAATGAAAATCCGTTCAGAAGTTCCGAAGATACCCTCAAACAAACATCCATCCATCAAAACTTTCGCATTTATAATATTAGAACGAAATAAGATTTCGAATGGCCGACTAATAAACACGTAAAGGTCAAAGAACAGCTTTACATATATCTATTTACTTTAGCCAATGAGAATAAATAACCGCAACACTATCAATGACCCCAAGATAACGACAAATATAAACATTATTATTTACTCGTACAAGACAAACTTACAAAATATGTCAATATATTAAATAAATTAATAAGCATTTAAAGTGTTATAATCTTAAAGATAGATCAATGCCCTGTCTCTTCTCCTTCAAATGACTTTAAACCAAAACTATAGAGTAACCTTTCGACTCTGGACAAACAACTATATGTTCCGTCATATTGGTGCCCACGATACAGGCATTGTCTAATGTGGGCATCGCTAGATTACACAAAACAACCATAAATGGTAACTTAAGTTTAATTTAATTTCTCAGTTATGTGCAATTTTTATGTTAATTATTGTTTTTGGTTTAATCTATATTACCTATAATAAAAACTTTCCTTTCTTTTCTTTCTTTCGTCCTAGTATGACTCAGGTGCCTTCAACAGTGAATAGGCATTTACTAAACTAGCGCGTACCATCTTTCGATATCACTTGACGTAAGGTGGAATCATGTTCAAACGCTGGCTTATTCAATATAAAAAAATACAGTCACTTAACCTAACTAAAATTGATGACTAGTAGATCAGCTCACGTCTTTGTGAAGCAGATCAGTGGCTCTTAACTCAGAAGAATTTATACTTGCATAATTATGTATTCCGAGCTACAAACTGCGAGTCACCAACCAGCTCAAGGCTCAACAACATAGTTGTATAACTTAAGCACAGTGAGTTGAGTGTGTGAGTGATTTATTAGTTGAGTCGCAGCTCAACAGTTCAAGTCATACAGACCAGAACATTTGAATCGGTTCAGAGATGCACAAATCTATAATAGTTCCAATATCAGTGGAAATGAATGCCATAGTAGTATTAAAGACTATTTTTTTAAATAATTTATGCTAAAAATGCCAATAAAAAACTAAACAAAAGATTTTATTTAGTATAAGATTAATAATCGTACACGTAGAAAACAATGTCGATCATAAAAATGATGTCATTTGCCGTTTGTAATAAGAATAAAGAAAACTGAATAACATTACATTCAAAACATATAAATCAGCAGAAAAACTAAATATAATTAAAATGTTTAACCTAAATACAAAATATGTAGATTTATAGAAATTCTTGCAACTTAAGTAATTATTTGTTTTAAAAAGATGACTCAATGATAAATTATATCTTACTAATATTATAAATACGAATGTTTAGATGGATGTTTATTAGAAGGTATCTCTGGAACGGCTACATGGATCTCGATGAAATTTAGCATAGATTTACAACACAGTTCTTAAGAACATACTATTAACTTTCTTTTTAATTCTGCTTCACAAATATATACTTTGGTAAATTTACAAAAGTAATATTAAGTTAAATTTACCTAATATTTTTCATAACAAAACTCACTGTAAATTATTGAAATATGTTTTAATAATGACATATGAATCCATTTTTAATCGTAATATATGACTTTCTATTTAAAAAGTGTGAGTCAATAAACAAATTAAGACTAGAACTTCACACTTGAGTAAATATCTGGTGGAAAATATTTTAGTGATATATAAAAATGTTTATAACAGTATATAAACATACCAAGGAATATTATTTAACTACACACAAAATTGTTTTGTATTTATGGATTTAGAATAAAAAAAACAATCTTACTAAATATTAATAAATGCAAATGTTTGGATCAATATATGGAAAGATGGATATTTGTTAGTCTTGCTGAAATTAGGCATAGATGTAGAACATAGCCTGGAAGAAGACATAGGCTACTATTTCAGTTTTCTTTATTAATTTCGCATGGATGACGTCGCGAGCGACAGTTAGTTTTGCACAAAAAAAATTATACAAATAACTTTACACAAGCAAAATGTCTGGAATTTAAACATTCCAATTGATTAAATTATTTATTAACATTTTATAAAAATATGTGAGTTCTTTTCAAATAACTTGTCATTATTTAAATTTAAAGAATTCATCAAACTCTTACACTAAATAAAAAAGAGATAAAAGATGAGAGAGAGAGAGAGAGAGATACAGTTTAAAAAAATGTTTTTTTTATGGCGAAGGCAAGTTATTGTTATATCTGGATTACTGTTATAAGTTTTTGTATGTCTAATAATAATTTTATTTATAAAATAAAACAAAAAAAATCTTACCAAGAATAAAATGGTTCATGTAATTCAGCATAAGGAATCACTAGAAGGCCTTTTACAGTGTAAACATTACTCCATTGAGGTGGACTTTCTGAAATAAAAAAAAAGAAATTAATTATTGTCTATGTTTACTTACGCAAATTTCTTTTTTTTATTCTTTATCATCTTTATTTTTCAAATTAGATTGTAAGCCAGCTCATTATTAATATTATTTTATTTTTATCTACCTACATTATTGATAGGAAACAGAACGAAAATATTCCAAACTTAATGCGCATATTAATTTAAAACAATAGAGGATAATTGTTAAATATTTGATAAAAGGGAAAACGCTGATTAAAAATGTTTAAATACCGGTTATAAATATGCAAGTAAGGTAAAATATTAAGTTAATACTCACGTTTATCCACATAGCCAAGAACCGTCCCAACAAAGAGAAACAAGAGCAAATTGAATAACATTCTGAACGAGCGGTCGCTTCTCCAGCCCTGAACAGAATGGACATAAATAATTTTAATTAAGCTAAACCAAACAAGAAATGCTATGTCAGTACAATGCAAAAGAATTCAGGGCACCTGCTACTTAATAACTTTCTTGAAAATGTACATGAAGTTATTTTAACAATGCTTAAGAATGTTGAGTATATCTAAGTAGAGTATTTGTTGGTATTTTATTTTTCAAAAGTAAAGACTTTTTAGTTTGTATTCTATTGTCTGACGTATACGTTACAAAATCTGTCGATAACCACCGGCTTCAAGCAAGTCTATCTAGAAGAAACATACTATTCACTTTGCAATAAGGATTAGAATTGCATGACAAAAAAGAAATAACCCAACCTCCCTAATTTACTTACAAAGAGCAAACAAATGCCAAACTACACAAATATATTTTTTTAATGAAAAAAAACACTGTTTTAAATAAATTGGCGTTTTTATTTTGGAAACAGAAATAATTTAATCAGTTTGATACTCAAGCTTTAGTTTAAGTTTACAATCAAATTCAGAATTTAATTTTACATTTGGTGAAGTTATTTTCACTCTGCGGACTCTTTATTTAAATCTGTCATTTGTCAAAGTCAAATTCATCAATTCTTATCAAGGTATTATTTATTTTATATTTTATATGTTTAAACATAACCAATTTAACATTAAACTTTGGTCAATATGAATAAAAAACAAATATCGTTCGGTAAAATCAGTTTAAATATAAACAAACCTGCAAAAGAAGATGCTTCAACATCGGGATTCGGTACGTTTGGTAGAATACCAATTCAAGAGCAAAAGGAAATCGAAGAGATAGCCGACGACTTGGAAAATCAACATGTACACAAAATTATGGGTATTAAAAACTTCGGGAAGAAAGCGAAGAACTTTAATGTCGAAGAAATGATGGAACAAGCCAAGAAAACAGCTCAGGAAGTCACCAAAAATAAAGTAGACGCTGAAACCAATAAAGAAATACCAAATAATTCTGAAGGTGAAGATGATAGCTATATAGGTCCTCCCGCTCCTCCAGGATTGCAAGACGAGAATGAAGAACTAATAGGACCACCAATACCTAAAGAAATTTTAGAAGGAAATACAAAGAATACCACTAAAGTAAACAGTACTTCTAAAGAAAATGAATCGAACAGTGAAGAAGACAGTTATGATGAATTGAGTGGATCTGATGATGATGAAGTTAGCATGGAAAAGAAGATACCAAACACACATGAGGTAAAATAAAGTTAATAAATACTTTATTAAATAATATTACATACTTTTCTATAGCCTTAGAATCAAAAGTTAATTTTCATCTGTTTTGGAAGTAATTAAACACATCCACTACCCCTTAAAATTTTATGGTATTAACTGTGGAGTTCCGAGTTCAAAATCTCAGTTTAAAACATATTTTGTAACTCTGTATTGTCAAAGTTAATGACAGGGATAAAATATTGTAAACGGAGATTTTGGTGCCGGAAACCCATGGTAAATGTGTTGAGTCACTTATGCAGCTTGATTATACCACTACAGTTTTCTGTTTAATCACTTAAAAGAAAAATAAATTTAATAACTATTCAATGTTATTTCATATATTTGTAGGTGGAAATGCTTCATGGTAGTAAAGCTGTGATAGCTCTAGCTGTGGATCCTTCAGGAGCACGGTTGGCAACTGGATCTGTAGACTATGATGTAGCTTTCTGGGATTTTGCTGGCAAGTTCAATCTTTACATGTACTATTTTTTTATTTTACATTTGTACCATTACACCTTCATCATCAGCTCACTACACGTCCCCTCCGAGGGGCTCGGAGCCTACCCTAAGGTAAGGGTGATTAGGCCATAGTCAACCACGCTGGCCAAGTGTGGGTAGGTTGACTTTACACATATCTTTGAATTTCTTCTTAGATATGTGCAGCATCACAATGTTTTCCTTCACCGTAAGAACGTCGAATTAATGTACATATGTAAATCAGAAATCAAAAACACATTATTACAAGGCTGGATTAGACCCCAGGACCTGCAGATTGCAAGTCAAGTGCTTGACCACTGAGCTACCGATGTTCCATTACACCTTAGAAGAATTATATTATTTTATAATGCGTAATAAAATAGGTATTTTATTTTAAAAAAAAAATTATTTTAATTTGCATTATGTTTTTATGTTATATTTACAACAAACACACATTTATTGTCAAAACAAGAAATATGTTTATCACGAAATAAAGATTGCTAAACTATTTTATTTCCCACAGGGATGGATTCATCAATGCGTTCCTTCAGAACACTACAACCTTGTGAGAATCATCCTATCAAAGCTCTTCAGTACTCGGCAACTGGTGACTCCATCCTAGTGGTCAGTGGTGCAGCGCAGGCTAAGGTCCTTGATAGGGATGGCTTTGAAGTGCTGGAATGCGTGAAAGGGGACCAGTATATCACTGATATGGCAAAGTAAGACATTGTTTATATCTCTTTGAGTAATAATTTAATATATACCCGTTAGGTTTGTTTGGTGTAAAGAAGTAAATTAAAGAACATATATTAAGACTTGGTATGTGCAGAATTAAATAATCTTCATTAGTAGCCTATGGTGAACTGATGACTAGGGAATAAATTATGCAGTGGTTTCCCGTTGCCTTCTGCATAAGACTTTTAAGAAGTTATTTAGACTTCAAGGCCGCTATAGCTATAAATATGGAGAACTGATCGCCAACCTTCGCTAGTCGGAGAGGCACCTCAAGAAGAAGAAGGAGTAGACTATGTTCTATGTCTATGTCAATTTTCGTTGAGATTGGTTGAGCTGTTCTGCAGATACCTTCAAACAAACATCCATTCATCTAAACGTTCGCATTTATAATATTAGTAAGATACCTGTATGGTAAATTATAATAATTTTTACACTATAAATTGGTAATAACAGACTCAGCCTGTTTAAAAAAAAAAAGAGTTTCCATGTCATCAAGTCTAGCGGGTTTTTTTTTTCCTCTAAATTACTAAAAAATCTTAGTAGCATTAAATTTATTATTATTATAAAAGATATACATATTTCTCCTTATCATATTCTTTCCTTACAATTTTTTTTAGAACGAAAGGTCACACCGCATCTCTAAACAGTGGTTGCTGGCATCCGCACATTCGTGAAGAGTTCATGACATGTTCACAGGATGGCACTCTCCGTTTATGGTTGACTGAGAACCCGAAACAACATAAATCCGTCATAAAACCTCGACAACAAGGAGGTTTACGTACCAACCCGACCGCTTGCACATTTTCTAGAGACGGGAACACAGTTGCTTGTGGATGTTTTGATGGTTCTATACAGATGTGGGACCATAGAAGAAACTTTGTGAATACCACAGCGTTACTAAGAGATGCACATCAAAAGCAAACTGAAATATCAAGTATTTGTTACTCATATCTCGGTTCACAATTAGCAAGTCGTGGTAATGACGATACTTTAAAATTATGGGATTTAAGATATTTTAAAAAGCCACTAAATATATTTAATAATCTATTTTCAAGATACGAACAAACAGACTGCGGTTTCAGTCCTGATGATAGATTGATATTTACAGGGGAATCATTACAAAGGAACCAAGACATCGGTAGACTATTATTCTATGATACAAAGATGTATAAACATGTAACTAGTATAGAAGTGTCTAAATCTCATGTAATTAAAGCAGTATGGCACGCTAAATTAAACCAGATCTTTGTGGGCTGTGGAAATGGAACTATAAAATGTTATTACGATCAAAAAAGAAGTCTGAGAGGTGCAAAACTATGTATAGTAAAAACACATAGAAAGAAATCATCCGTAGGGATTGTCAGTACCCAACAAATTATCACACCTCATGCATTACCCTTATTCAGACAAGAGAAACTAAGAACAAGTAAGAAAAGAATGGAAAAAGATAGATTAGATCCTGTCAAATCAAGACGGCCAGACTTACCAATCACATCAGGTCAAGGTGGAAGAGTAGCGGCATCTGGAAGTACACTCAGTTCTTTCGTGATCAGGAATCTTGGGTTAAGTAAGAGGGTTGATGATGAACAAGATCCTAGAGAGGCTATCTTGAAATATGCCAAAGAAGCAGAAGAGAATCCATTCTGGGTCGCTCCAGCTTATAAAAAAACTCAACCGCAGCCGATATTCCAGAATGAAAATGAAGAAGGACCTGATCCTAAGAAACAGAAGACATCTTGAATTTATGTAAAGATTTAATGTAGAAAATATTTTATTCTGTCATATGCATTTTAAAGTGTCATATTCACTTGGAAATGTCATATATTTGAAACTGTCATGTTCATTTATAAGTGTCATTCACATTCGACAGAAGTGTACTTAGCCTAAGTACAATAAAAATAAATTGTCACGTTATTTAACCACGTAATTATTAGATGATCAACGTAAATAAGTCTATTTATATAATAAGGAAGGTTATAAGTGTCAAGTACATTTGTAAATAAATAAAAAAACATGATGAAATCTTATTGCTTTATTTATATAAACCTAGATCTAAAATCCTAAACAAAATACTAGATTTTTTGGTAATGCATAGGCTTTTTAACATAAAGTGTTTATATTTAAGTTATTCGACAATTTAATAGTTTCTAAATTTTACGTCAAAATAAAAAGGCGCTAAAAAATAATGATCCAAAATCTTGATTTCTTGTATGAAAGAGATAGTCTTATTAATAATCGATGTGAGTGAGCGAGATGTGAGAGCCTATGCATTTGACTTTACTGGTTTAAGCTTGTGCTTTCATGCTCTGTGGAGTTAACTCTCTACCTTCACCAAATGGATCGATCGGTGATCTTGCTGAATTCTGAAAAAAACAAACAATAATATGAAAAAATTTAGTAAATGCTTCACCTCCTTACCTTAGCCAATAAAGAGAAATTATTTAATTGAGTAGTAACCTCAAATAAATTTTGCAATATTTTACTTTATATAAAGAGTTTGTTTTTATCCCGAACTTGCCGTGAACATTAACATGAATAATTAATCTAATATTTAGGATTATGTTTCTATCATTTTATGCTATGTTTTTAGAAAGTGTAGCGGAATGTGAGGGTAGGGCACTGCGCAACGGTGACCTTGAATCGCTAAATTATTTGAAAAGAAAATAACATTTGGCTACAAAACTAATAATTCATCTTAGTTATAATTAATAATGATAACAAATTAAGGCTTAAAACTGATAAAACTTGAAAATAAATCATCCATAGTGTTAGGAAGAAAATCCTAAAATGAGGCAGTGTATTGACGCACCTGCCTTACTAAAATGTCGACGTTTATGTCCCCTCACTAATCATTCTGACACTAGACTTTGTAACGAAAGCACGTCATTCGCGCCAAGTGATTCTAATTAATAATGTCTAAAAATAAAAACAAGTTGTTAATCCTTACCAATTTCTTAGCGCGATCTGTTAATATAGAGAAGGCAAAATGATTCAATATGGCGCCAGTCGGCAACGCCACGCCTTGGAAACGATACAACTGCTTTACTTCACTCTCCGATGACCCTGGTAAAATATATTAAATGGTTTAAAAAAATAAAATACAAATCCTACGTTGAAGGAAAATAATCGTAGAACCAACATCTTTATGCAAAGAAATTCATATATTTTTTTTAAATCCGCCAGTTAAATTCGCCAAAATAGCGAATCGTCCACCGACGATAGCCTACCGAAACTGCAGATCCGTTGCCTACCTTTAATCAACGGAGGGGACGCACAGAAATGTTTTCAACTCACATGCGTCCACTCCTCCGTCAAATCAACTTCCACTTCCCATCCTTTCCTTGTATATATGAAGAGTAACTCAACCCAGGGCCAGCGTTAAGTAAGACCTGGTCACTAGGATAATCTCAAGCCCTGGGAGTGTGTCTCAAGAGCTGTATATCAGTAAAGGAGGTACTTGTCTATGAATTTAAAAACATCCTGTATCAACTTACCCAATAGTTTGTGTACCGAAGAGACAGTGACTTTGCCAATTTGTCCCGTGCTGCTTATTAGTGGTCCTTTAGATATATCGACATGATTGCCCACCCTGTATAGTGTCACTTTACCTGCATAGTTCATAGGAAAAAAATAAAAAAACATTTTACAATCCCAAAAATATCAAACTAAATCTTACAGCAACTTAGTTAAATACTACAGACGAATCAGGATAAGCGAGAATCCAAGATACCGCAATATTTTTCTCGCTTATAGAAGTTTTACTATAACCCAAGTTTCACATTCTTAGAAGATTATCTGCATCCCAAATTTCTTGCTTATGGAGGTTGTCCGGACCAGACAATAACTTATACAGGTTTCTCACCTATCCAAATTCATCTGTACATCAAAAACTCACCATTAGCCTTAGCTATATCCGGTATCTGTTTAGTTTTATGTTCATTTTCCACAAACATTTCTAACGCTAGCGCTTCTCCAACTTCTAGTCTTTCTATCAAATCATTTCTTCTCGTCAGTTTGATGTACTCCGCACTTAATGTATGCAATTCTTGTTGTGTGGGTTGCCAATCGGGTAATGTAGGTAAATCTACATCGTAGATAAATGATCCACTGCGAACTGGAAAATAAATAATAAAAATCTTGATCTTTAGGAAGTCTATTAAATAGCTGTAGCCCAAGACACAGTCCACACGGTATTCAAAAACTTAATTAGTAGCCTATGAGTTCTTTCAGACTATGTTTTACATCTGTAACAAATTTCATCAAAATCTGGTGAGCCGTTCTGGAGATAATTTCAAAGAAACATCCATCCAAATATTAGCATTTACAATATTAGTAAGACTAGCTGTTGGCTGCAACTTAGTACAGCCTATAATATGCCTGCATCATATCTTCCGAACAAAGTCTTATTTACGAGATTACCCGAAACAAACGCGTCTATGCAGACAGACATACAGATAGACGGACAAAAAATATAAAAAATGCATTTTCATTATCAGAAAACAATTACATCGTATGTACAAATATATTAATATACATCTATAGAAATATTAGAATTATGTGATAAGAGAACAAACATCCATCCATCTAAAATTTCTCATTTATATTAGTAAGATGTACTTTAATCGGTGTTCCTATATTCTTAAAAATATACTTACTATCAGGACCTGGAAAGCTGTGCAATTTGACTGTAACATTATCCTTAAAGGCAACAGATGCACAGGCTCCCAGCACCAAAGAACAAGTACGCCAAAATGCTTTGTTAACTTGTTGAGGCTCCGCTATGTTAAATGTCTGGAACTGAACGGAATAAACATTATAATTAAAAAAAAAACAAGTGAACAAGAGAAAAGACGTAGTAACGAAACTGGCTGTAAACATTTAATAGTATTTTGTTTTTCTTTGGTTTATAAAATTTGTTACTAGCATCAGTGGCTAAAGTATAACTAACATAGCAATCATGTCATGTCTTAAGTGTGATTTAAAAACCATTTATAACTTTTTAAATAACCAACTACTGCAGCCACTTCATTTTGACATAGATAATGTTAGGGATGATGATATTTTTTATAGAGATTTTGGTCTCGGAAACAAATGGTAAACCAAATTATAATGTGGTGCTGTACATATAAATATGCATATTTACCTCCAGTGTGCAACTCTCTGATAGTTGTCTATGCATGTCCCAATGTACAGAACTATCCAATAAGGCTAAAGCACTGCTCTCCATATGCCATTCTCCGAGATCTGGAATATGATATTTTAATTTTATTACATAACTCACTTCAGGTTATCCCATGTCCTAATATATCATTCTTATTAGTTTTAAACCACAAAGGTTTTATTCATAGTGCTATTTACTATGAAAGATTATTTTAAGCACTATTAGACAAAAGTTATAATTACGAAGTTATTCAAGAAATGTTGCATTGTATGAATAGAAAATTATTTACGACGTAATAATTTACAAATACGTACGTTTCGCACAATCGTATGGTGTAGAAATGTCTTTATTCATAACCAATGTGCATTCTTGAGGTACACCCTTGTATTTTACTTCAATCTTTTCTATTCTACCGACCAGTTCTAATTGCCGCTTCTTTTCTAAAGTGAAGAGATGGTGCCGACGTTCTGTAGCTTCTTGAGTACTCAAACATCCTTTAAAATTAATTATAATACATTTGTTATGTTTTTTCTTACTATAATTTCTTGTAATACAATGTCAACACAGCAACTTACTTATAGACAAAAATGCCTTCTTGTTACTTTGCCGTATGAATTTTGATAACTGACTTATGGGTAGCTTCATTTTCAGTAAATCCTATTTCATGAATACAATAAACTGTAAACAATTTTTGAGGTTATCCGCAATGCGATTGACAGATGACTGACAGATGATAGGTGCAGTTTCGTGTTTTTATAACCGACAAAGGAATCACTTTTCTTACATCTGAAGTTGATTCTTCAGGGAAGAATTTTGATGATTTAAGGTAAGGGTTAAGGAGATAAGTTCCCTCTTAAATATTCCAAGTTCAATAATGTAAGCTAATACCTAAATTAAATTTATTTAAAAATAAAACAAGAATTAAATAGGGCACTTTTAGACAAAAAAAAGGCTAACCTAAATTTGAATGGATTATTTTCTTGCTCAAAAGTCATATTTCGATTTTAATAAAAACCGTAAATGTTAATAAATCAATTGTTTACGTTGTAAATATCGTTTCAAAATTAACTCGGAATTAAATTGTATTTCTTGGATTTGGGTACATAAAGTTTAAAAATGAAACAATTAAAAACCTTTCAAAGGCATACTTTATTAAAACATACATTGGTTAATGCACTATAATAATTATCTTATTCTATTTCTAACAACTACTAGAATAACATGACTTATACAATGAAGTATACTACATATTAAAATGTTGACTAATTTTGATAGACGGAGATAAAAGGAGAAACTAATTCAATTAACAATCATGTACTACTGAAGTATAGTCTATGGATGACACTAATTTACTGTAGATATGCAGATATTTTGCATACTATGGGTACATGATACAGATCGGTGGAAAATCAGGGTAGGATACTGATCTCTATAAATGCATAAACAATTGCTTGAAAATGTCAGCTTTTCTTTCATTTTGATTAAAATCTTCTGTTGATGTTATGTTACCACCAGCGCCAAAATGTTGAATATCAAATGGGCACAAAATACTAAGTCTTATAGCCAGTCCATTTAAAAAAGGTCATTTTGGATATGACCATTAGTCTTCTGTGTTATTTATCTTCTAACCGACCATTGTTCTCTTTCTGCCCCTCGCTCTTACTTCTTCAAACTTACTCAATATTTCTTTGACATTATTCTTGTTGTAACTTTTGTAGTATTCCAGAAATTTATCAAATAGTTTCGGATAGTTATTATGTGTGCTTATAAATGCTCTTTCCAAAACATACAAATCAACACCTTTGTCTTCGGCACTGGAATCTATGTATGATAGGCCAAAATCAATCATCACCAACTCCAGATTATCATGGTTTAACCATTTAGCATCACCTTTAACTTTAGTCGGCGTTTTCTCGACTAACAACATATTAGATGTCGTCAAATCGCCATGAATGATGTTATTATCGTGCATTTTTCGCACAGATTCCGCAATTACTTTGGCAATGAAGTTTAAAATATCTTCGTTTTCTTCTACATTCTTTACAACATTTATAATGAAGTCTTTTACAGTAATACTGGTCTCCATATACTCCATATAAATACGTCGCCTGTCAAAATCTACTAAATACAGCGCCGGTGTTTTCACTTCAGCTAAAATACATCTTAATATTGATCGTGCTTCATTTTTCATCCTTTCCTTTGTAATTGTAGAGTCCAAATCAGGGTGGCGATAGTTTTTCTTAAATCTTTCTTTGATCAAAGTTGGTTTTCCGAGGTATTTGCATATGAACAATTTGGCCTCGGCCCCTTGTTTTAGTAACTTTAATTCTTCGGACATTTTCAGTTCACTTAAAATTATACCGTTACTCAATAACTATTCATTTATTGTTATGTTTCGTTAAGTATAAAACCTCACTATTTTTATTTGTTGACAAATTGCTGAGTGCGAGGAAAATCAATATTTGCAAAGAAGGTGTTGCCATAGCTGTTTAACAGAATCTGCGTTTTTTCCCCTAGAAACGTAGAAAGTATTTTTTCAATTATATGTGTCTTTTTAACTACAAATAAATTAAGTAATAAGATATAACAAATTGGAAATACGAACATAAAGTCCACCAGTACTGTGTAACTAATTTCGGTGCATACAATTTATAGGCAGTTAAAGTTTTCGATCGTAAGTATTTGAACAAGAAAAAATAAAGTCTTGCACAATCTTTATAAGAGAGTCTTTGAAAATTATTTATGTTCCTCAAAAGTGCCTTCGTTTTTAGTAAAATTTCGGAGTTGGCAATATTATTTGCCCATGTCAGTTTCGAGAATGAAACGTTCCGTTTCAAGATTTTATTTTTTGTTGACAACGTCTTTGACCTCACCAACGATAATTTAATAACTTCATTTTACACTTTGATTTTCTTAAATTTTCCCAAACAAATCATAAAATATGGTACTAAAAAACAACAGGTTTGTTTTTGTTAGTAATGATACTATAAAATTGATAAAACGGTCGCAAAACGTAGCTTTTCATAAGAGGTAGAGCAAGAATTTCCGTTTTTACTTGTATGCAAGTTGGATGAAAATGTGTAAATATTGAAATGTTGCTATAAAATATGTCATAGCGACATTTTCATAAGTTAAAACGGAATGTAAAATAAAATAAATCGAAATCGGCGTAGATGAACTGCACCTTACATTTAATATCGTAGGCACTATATCTGTACTATGTCATGTATATGTACGCATGCCAGCGGGTGTATGTATTCACTCGTTGGGGAGCAAGGGAGGCTGTGTGGGCGTGTGGTATTGGTTGTTGCACTCGCGCCGGCCGGCGGCATAACTTACGTTTAGACTCGAACGCTTAATTCTACCAAATAGTTTAAAGAGAGACTGTGATTTACACAAACTATTAATTCGGTGTAATCGCGACGTTTGTACACAGTCTCTTATAAAATAAGAAAATTAAGTCGTGTGCTTTTAATCGAAAAATAAATAAGAATACGAACACATTTATTTTAGTGTCTGTGGTTTTTTTATAATTGTGAGAAATATGTCTGTGGAGGGATTGGAATACGAAAACATCGTGCAAAATGGCCCTAAAAAAGTAAGTGGTCCATTTTCCTCCTTTTAAGGATTACAGTAGAACATCAAGCAAATATTTTTACCCATAATTTAACCTAAGTTATGACTTAAAAATAGCGAAGCTATACCTTTCAGTCATTAATTAATATATAGTTTAATTGATAAGTAGAGTCAAGAGATGGTAAAATGAACGTATAGGTATGTGTAAAGTTGCCTGCGTCTATATTGATACGTAAAGGAGGGTGAGGCGGTGTACTATACAAATGTCTGGGTGCATTTTCGTAGATATACTATGCAGGCGCGCCGCTGAGCACAGGCTAATGTGATTTCCGTCTGGATTTATGCGGGAATAACAACTTTTGATATATTTATTTTAATTTTACCAATTCTTTTTAGAAGATTTTTCGTTTTTATCTTTTAAGGATCATGTTTAATAACATTTAAAAAAAATTACAACGTTGACGAGATTGTTGGCTGTATGACTATTGAGCATTTGTTTTTTTCCATCGTAAACAAAAAAATCACTAATTTTTGAAAATGATAGTCACGTGTTTTCGTTTTAGTTAGCTTAATTTCCCATTAAAAAAATATAACACTTTCTCTTTTTCGCTTAGATTGTTTTTTAAATTAAGAGCGACTGGTTTGTACATTTTAATCTGTATAATTACGCGCTCTTTTATTGTCTCCGTGAGAAAATCGCGTGCTAGAAGACGCATTCCAACTAGCGCATAGAATATGTACATAATTAACTGTTCAATTTCACAATGAAAGATGAGAAAATGCACGTTGAGAAGTCCGAATTAACTATTTATCAAGAATTTTCACTGGCCAATTCTTATAACAAAAATAACTTTTAAGGAGTTTGCAAAATCCTGCCTAAATTCATCTTTGATACACAAAGAATGTTTTAAATATTTTTATCGGTGTTTTAAATATTTTTGTTTCAAATTGAATCGCTATAACTATTTCCCCATTGGCATAATACAGATTGCTAGTTGTTATTTAAAAAAAACACCAAAAGGTCTGCAATAATTATTCTTGCGTTTCTTTTTAATTAATTTGGGCGATAAATTCAATTTGCATAACAAGGTTTCACAACTTACGACATAGTAACTGTCTGACGCGAAAATTATGCATAAGTCTTTTATACAATCTACATTTATTTGGCGCGGACTTAAAAAATGGACAGGTACGATAATTATTACTGAGAATTGTATAAAAAGCAAACCTCTCAAAGCAAATATAGAAGTTGTTTACAGTTCAAACACGACTTGAGCTTTGATATCAGTAAAAAAGTGTTTATAAGATTCATAAAAAACTATACCATCTACTTTAAAGTTACTAGACCAATTTGATATACAAAAGCAAAAAACTTGACATAAGATATTTGACCTGTTGAACTGTCAGAATACTCTATGATTACTCTACTCTATGATTTATCGATAGCATTTTTATGTATAATGACCCAAAGGACTATGTTACCAGGTCATAAAATTAAAAAAAAATTCTATGTATAAAACATATCGTCGTCCTTTTCATTACCTTTGACAACAAAGAGATAGCAATATGTTTTGAACGGGGATTTTGGTCTCAGAAATCTACGGTTATTCTCCTGAAATATCTATTAAAAATGTATCTTTTAATGCATTAAAACTGTACAAACGCTCTTGCTACACACTACAAAAAAATGTAACTTTAATACTTAGCCAATTGTTTGCGAATAAAAAAGTTAACTAGCAAATTTTTTGTTGTCAAAAAATACGACGAAATGTAAACTCATTGGTAACCGGTAATTCATTGTTGAAATGTTAGTAAATTGACTTTCACTGAGCTAACATGAAGTTTAAAAAAAAACATCTGTTTTATTTTTAGTAATTGAATTGTTCATTTTGATTCTTTAGGCATTTTATTTTAGATCAATCGTTTAAAAGGTTATTTTAGAACAAACCTTAACATTCTCTATATCCTAACAAAAGGCGACGCAAGTTGACAAGTATGGCGTGTCTACTAATAAAAATTATTTTTATTTTATTCAAACAAAACGCGTAACATGTGGTCCAATTTTTCAATGGAATACTCTCAAATAATTTCTGAGTTATGTTGATGTAGTTGGATTGTAGGTATCTTAGTATTTTAGTAATAGTTTATTTATTTATTTTATCTCTCGATTGCCCTCCCCCTTGACATCTTAACCTTAACGTCGGTATCCATTGTCTCTTCAAATTCTCACATAGAACTCTCTAATAAGTACGGTAAAAGAGTTATGTTTGATTGATGAGCTTTGTAGATGATTTTAGACTCTCACATAAGATACATATTTTTGTACAGCTCTTTCGATCCTGACGTTGAAACGATAGTTGTCTTTTGAAATTTTATACGACGATTCGGATACAAATAGGAGTCGTCAACTAATACATGTTCCCACCAAGATAAGAACATACATATATGACCTATAAATCTAACCTGGAGCATAGAAATGAGGGGTATAGAAAGACTCCGGATGCTTTTTGTTAGGATAAATTTCCTCAGTGTTGTCATCTACAATAGAAAAAGACATTTCGAAAATAGACTCTCGATTAGATGTCAAATTATGAAACATTCCATCTATAGGTTGTCTATGGATTAAAAAATATGCAGAATGTCGTATGTTTAGTTCATGGTATTGGTATTATGGTGAACATAAAAATTAACTACATCAAACATCTGTGCAATTAAATTCCGTCGCCTACGTTTTATCGGATATCTCATGAAAATGTGTGTAGGTAGACATTTTTTTATTATTTCACATAAAAATTATACGAGTGTTTCTTGCGCAATAGCGTAAGACTACGCTGTTTTCAATTTTATAATATGTAACTCTGTGGTTTTGCTTTCCAAATACGTGTACTAGAACAAATTGGCATCCTTTTCATTATCTTTGAATAAGACAGAGATAAGTTTTTGTACAGGTAAATTTTATATTGCAATTTAGTGTATACAATAGGTTCAATTTTAGTTGATCATTTAAACAACGAATATGTATAAAAAATAATAAAAATAATTGAATCAGAAAATGTCGATTAATAAAAATGTTATTTGAGAGTTGCAATGTTGTCTGAATATAAACTGTCTGTGTTCCGCGAATTTTTTTTTCTTCAAAAATTAAAAAGTCAAAATTCAACAGTCTCTACAACTCTACGGCCATTCCGTTACGGTTACGCGGGAAATGGTAACTTCGTCCGTCATAACCTGTTTTCTAAAATCGCTTGGAAGTACCACTGTTCTTCATGTTACACCTTCTTAAACCTAAAGTGACTATTAACGAGTTTTGTTATCATTTTAATACACATAGATAAAAAGAATAAAATCAAAGCGAGTTAATTGTAGTTTTTAAAAGCACTTAAGATAAAGACTTTGATTTAATCTAATTTAGTAAACACGTTGATGCCATCAAGGAAAAGTATTTATGGATGTTTTGAGACGGGAAGAATGAGAAACTTTATGGACCAACATAACCTAACTTTATTGTGACTAGTCCCGTAATGTTTATTACGCTGTAGCCAATAGTATAAAAATTAAAATTAAACAATTTCAATAGAGACTGTGAGACAAATTTAAATTTATTTTTAGTAAGACAGCATGGATCAAAGCAGCAAACAATTTCTCTATTTTATACGACTAATAGAAACACTTTGGCAACTATACAGCGAAATAAACTGTGAAATGACTAATTCCAGGGACGCTCTTCTCGTTTTTATATTTCCATTCCAAAGCGAGGATCCTTTTTAATAAACAAAAAGGCTGTACATTTATTTTTTAAATTTCAGAACGTCGCATTTTGTGTTTACGCTTTTTCCTGTTTTCCTTGTCGTATGCTAAATGCGTGGCTATTGTTTGTGTGTCGTGTTT